CGGCGCTCCGCGCACCCTGCGGGCCCCCCAGGCCGGCTCGGCGGGGCGAGGGCTGAGCGGGCTCCCCGCGCCCGAGCCGCTGCGCCGGTCGCCGCCGCCGCCGTGCGCGCCGCGCCTCCCCGGCTCCGCCGCAGCCTGCGCAGAGCCTGCGGGGGAGGAGCGAGGGGGCGCGGGAGCCGCGGGAGCCGCGGGAGCCGCGGTCGGACCAGGTGGCCGCAGGGAGGAGGCGCCGCGAGCCCGGACAGCCGCGTCCCCAGCCCCGCCACCCGCTCCCTGGGCAGGAGGCCGGATGCCGCAGAGCAGAGCCGGCGCGCTGTCCCCGGCCAGGAGACCCGGTTGTAACCTAGCTCCACCTCCCCAGCCTCTTGATTGTCATCGCAAAAACGGGAATGAACTTTCCCGGGACAGTGTCCCTGGGCCACAAGGAAGATGAGGGCTTTCTTCTGGGCCGCCCTGAATGCCAAGCAGAGGGGGCGCTGTGACGTGACCCCCAGATTCTTGATGATTGAGAGAAACTTGGGTCCCTTGAGCACCAACAGTCAGGGTGAGGCGACAGCGGGGAGCAACACCGTAGGTTCAGTTAGCATTTACTGAGCACCTACTAACTAAGCTGAGAGACTTTCACAGACAGTAGCTGACAACATCCCCAATGTAGGTGGAATTGGAACTAAAGTAGTCAAGGGCGTTTCTTAAGGTCCTCCATGACTGACTCCCAGGTCAAGGTCACCTCCATGGCCTGCTGTGGCCTCTGCTCTTTTCTGGGCAGACCTAGGTCACCTCAGCCTCAGCCCGTGACCCTGAACCTCTTACCTCCCCAATCCCAATTTTACCTCCGTCTGTATTGTTCACCAAGCCTACTCCCCCTCCCCCGCTCCCTGCTGCAACCTGGAACCAACTCTTAGGAATTTTTCCTTTAAAATTTCAGTCGACTCTTTTCTCTCCATTCCTCCAGCTACCAGCCAAAGCAAAGCCAGTCCTGACTCTTGTCTGCTCACAGCAGCTGCCTCTTACTGGAATCCCAAACTCCACTCTTGCTCCCTCCCATCCAGCCCCGGCCTCTCAACACAACAGGAGCTCCCTAAAATGCGAACCTCGTTGTTCCTTCAGACCTCCTTCCCTCGGGGTTAAGCCCACCTTGTTCAAGACTGCAAGTGTATCATGGTCGAAGACCTGCTCCGGTGTCAGGCCTGTCTCCTCCAACCCTGCTCTGCTGGCCCCAGACACAGCCAACTAGGTCTCCTTCCTCCAGACCTTGGAATATTCTCTCCCCTCTGCCTAGAACACCCTTCCTTCTTGGTCCTCTAACCCTCCCTGTGGCCCCCTTGTGTCCACATTTGTCTACCTGATTCTGCATATTCTTCGGATTGCACATTTTCAAGATACTGCATTCATTTAGATTTGGTTCAGTAGGCTATGAAAGAAACCTCAGTAGCAGTGACCTAAACTAGAAAGACACGTAAAAGAAGGCTGGAGGTGGTCAGCCCAGGGCTAAATTGAGAGCTCTAAGGTCATCAGGGATGCAGGCTCCTTTTCTCTGCTATTTACATAGTGTCCAAAGTATGTAGCATCCATCTTCAAGATTTCCTCATAGTCACAATATGAACACTGTAGTTCCAGCCATCAGACTTGTGTACCAGATGGTAGGAAACAGAAAGGATCCATGGGGAAAGGGCATAAATTCTTGTTGAATCAGTCTCCTTTAAAGAGCTTTTCTGGAAACCCCAGTGACTTCCACTTACTTCCCACTGACCACTTCTTTCTTCATGGAAATCTGAAGAGTATGGTGTAGCTGAAGCAACTACCAGCCTCAATAAGGCATGAGTTCTGTTGGGAAGAAGAGGACATCAGATCACATGCGCAGGCAGTCAGTGTGTCCCCACCCACCCACTTTTTCTCTCTGTTGTCATTACTTGTTCCCCAACCAGTTGGTCATCTGTGTGTGGCAGGGAATGCGCTTAGGGCAGTACCTCTTTGAACACCAGGATAAGGTTTCAAACTTCGTCATATAGGCACAAGGAAACATTGAAGATATTGACCAGGGAAAGGTCATGATCATAATTTTAGCAAAATTCACCTCCGTAACTGATGCCAGGTGCCTTGGCTGCAGGTGGCTCAGTGAAGAGGCTGTTGCAATAAAGAGTTGAGATCAAAAGGAATCCCTGGGCAAATTAGCAAAGCAAATTAGCAGAGCACCACAGTGGGCTGACCTCAGAGGCATCCAGCATCCATCAAAGGCAGGGACTAAGCCCCCAGGGTCTCCATGAACCCCCCCCATGGGCTGCCCTGCTCCCCTCCCAAGGCTTCCTGGGGCTCCTTCCCCAAAACTCTGAGCACCCAAGTCCTTATGTCAGGGTCTGAGGAAACCCAAACTAAGACAGGGACCCTGAGGGTGCCTTAATTAGAGACCCATGAAGGGGCTGCTGCGGTCCTGGAAGAGATATTCACAGTAATAGATGCGGCAGGGCTGAGGACACGACCCGACCTCCTGCCTCCAGGCCCTGGGAGGCACGGGGCTTAACACTCCCCCTCCAGGACGGTGGAGGCTAGGGCTGCCCCCCCAGGACCGGCAGGGGCAGCTGCTTGTTGGCAGGGGATCGGTTCCATCCCACAGGGAGTAGCAGGCGCTAGCCCTCCCCTATCCAATCCCCCAGATCCAGAGATTGCTGCTCTGAACACCTGAAGTCCCCAGGGAAGACCCTCATCAATGTCACACATGGTAGGACCATCACACATTGATCAGGGTGCTCGAGCAGAATTGCGGTGAGCTTAAGATACAGAGGTCTGGGGCTATTTCAGACCCACCCTGGCCAGCACTCCTCTCTGTCCCCTGGGTCAGGGCTTTTGTTGTTTCCTAACCAATTGTCTGTCCCTATCTCTAGATGGCTTTGTCCCAGGGAACCCTACGTACCCTGTATCTCAGGATATTGACTCAGTCTCCTTTTCCTAGAGTCATGTAATCAGTAAGAATCCTGACCCACAAACACAAATGGCGGGGCATTCACTTTTCTTCTTTTAAATCAACCAAATTGTAACTTCAGGTCACCACCCCACTGGGGTGAAAGGAAACTCCATCTCAACTTTTTTAAATGTTTTTTCATTGAGCTAGAATTGATGTACTATGCAATTTATCATTTTCAAGTCTACAAGTCAGTGTCCTTAATACATTCCCAGTGGTGTGCCACCACCATCACCGATTCTGGAACATTCTTGCAGTCTTGAAAGGAAGCCTCAGATGCATCACGCAGTCGCTGCCCCCTGGCCTTCCCCCAGGCCCTGGCCACACACTCTGCTTTCCATCTTCTAGAATTTCCTACCAATGAACTCCTACAACCTGTGGTCTCTGACTGGCTCCGGGTCATCCAAGTCATTGACTCTCTCAGTCCTTCATTTCTTTCCTTCTCAGCCAGTGTCAAGGGCCTGTCATTCTTCCAAGTTGCTTCTGAACCCCCAAGGCTATGAGGGAAGGCCAGCCATGTCCCGGCTGTCAGCGGTTGTCCCTTGAAGCTCAACTGTTCCTGATTCCCAGCTTTCACAAGACATGGGGTTTTGCTGGTGGTAGAACCAGAGTCCTTGCTCTCCTGGCCACCCTGCCACTGGCCACCTCCAAGAAACTGTCACAGAGTGGTGGGTAGGCCTCGCTACTTGAAGAGCCCCCAGACCTCCCGACCCTTCCCACTCGCCTCTCCTCTAAGACTCTCTCCCTTCCCCTCCCTCTCTAGGACTCCCCCATGGTCCCTTTGGCAGCCTTAGATTTTTAGTAATGATCAGGCTCATTCTCAGGCTGCACCACCAAAACCTTTTAGGTGAGCTGGGCATGGGCATGGACCTGTACTCCTGGCTACTGGGGAGGCTGAGGCAGGAGGATCACAAGTTTGAGGCCAGCCTCAGCAACTTATTGAGACCCTATCTCAACATAAAATGAGAAGGGCAGAACACTTCTCAGTGGCAGAACACTTGTCTAGCATGCACAAGGCCCTGGGTTCAATTCCTTGTACTGAAAAAAAATTTTTTTAATTAAATTTTAAATTATTTTAAGCAAGGAGGTACACAGCCTGTGAAATTGCTGATAATAAAGAAACATAGACAAATAAAACTTTTATTTCGGTAGATTATCCTGCCGCCTGCCAGAGTTTGCTGGTGAAACCTGATCCTTTGTCTTTCCCCTTGGGCCCGAGCATTTCTGGAATGTTGGTGTTTACAGGACCCTAGAGGCCACAGATTTGCCAAATCCAAATCTCCAAGGACGGAAAGGACTGGATCCACGGGAGGGAGTACAGCCCACCAGCTGGGGCTATAGAGGACCCTCCACTCAGGCCACAGGGCCCTTACCAAGTGGGTACCGTGCTTCTCTGGCACCAAGCCCTTCCCAGTTTTCCAAATGATCTGGGCAGCTGAGATGCTATGTCACAATTTTTAATGCCAATGAACGATTCGTATTTTGAATATAAAACACTGCATAAAGAAAAAATACCTGCAGGATTGACTCAGCCCCAGGGCTTCCTGTTCACAATTTCTGATTTAAGCAATACATTCAATGTCAGGGTGTCAGGGACCCTATATCGCACAAATGTCACAAGCCCTCTAGGAAAATGGTCACTGCAGACCCTGAAGACAAATCCCTCCTAATCAGGAAGGGCCTCACTTTCTCCTATCTGGAAAAGAACTTCCTTCCTCACTGTTGATTATGTGAGCACAAGTTGCAGGGGGTCGTGGTGATGAGGAGGTGGGACCGGGAAGACATGGAGAGGAACACCTGCTCATGGTGAGGACCTAGCTGTACATAGACTGCAGGCCCCTGCAGGTGTCCTGGACTGGAGAAGCCACGTCCTCTTCCTGCAGGGTGGGCACACATCAGAAGCGAGCGAAGCCCCCTAGGATCTGCCCCAGACCACCCCTGCCTTCTCCACACTTCCGTGGAATGCCAAGGAGGTCCGGGTCAGGAACAGACCAATCACAACAACAACACACAATAAGAAATTCCCCAGTGTCCATAAGTTAACCAAGCAAATCTGGCAAAACCAAGACAAGAAGAATATGAAGCATAGGTAGCAGAAGATGTTTCATGACTTGGTTGTGTGGGTGCACTCTCCTGTACAGGGTCTGTTTGGGGTTGTTAACAATCATATCCTCCGCGGTTGGGAGAATAGAGAGCTGTTGGTCACAGGGTACAAAGTTTCACTTAGAAGAAAAGGAAATATTCTGAGATCTATTGCATAGCATAGTGACTATGGTCTGTTTGATTTGGGGTTTGTTTATTTTTTGGTTTTGGTACTGGGACTTGAACCCAGGGGCCCTGTACTACTTAGCTACATCCCCAGCCCTTTTTATTTTTTATTTCAAAACAGGGTCTCTAAGTTGCCCAGGCTGGTCTCAGACTTGCAATACTCCTGCCTCAGCCTTCCAAGTTTCTGAGATTAGGCACATGCCACAGGATCTGGCTGTGATTACAGTCAATAATAATGTATCGCATATTTCAAAATTACTAAAAGCATAAGTTTCACCACAAAAAAAATAAGCATTTGAGTTGATGGACATGCTAATTAGCTTGATCATTTCACATTGTGTATGTATGTTTATATATACATCATAACATCTTTGTACCCCATAAATATATATGTCTATCATCTGTCAATTTATAATTTTAAAAAGCTTTTTAGAGCCAGGCATGATAATGCAGGCCTGTGTCCTAGCAACTTAGGAAGCTGAGGAAGATGGATCTCAAGTTCAAGGTCAGCCCCGGCAACTTAGGGAGGCTCTGTCTCAAAATAAAATAAAAAGGGTTGGGGATGTAGCTCAGTGGTACAGTGTTTGCCTAGCACAGGTGAGACCCTGGGTTCAATCCCAGTAGCAAAAAAAATAATTTTTCTAAAATAATCAAAGAAACATTGTTTGACTCCACCACTCCACCTGGGGCCATAGGGTCTTCAAAGTCCTCCTTTCCTGGGTTGAGGCAGACACTGTTCTCTTTAGGGAACAGGAAATGCATCCTTTGGTCGGGGAAATGCCTCTCCACTGGGACAAGCCCTCACCCCTGGAGAGTTTTCCAGACTGTGGCTCATGCGCCAGAACAAATCTCCCTCCTATGAGGACCGTGCCTCTGTTCTGTCCTTCTCTGCCACAGATTCCCTGTGATGTGACTCTCCCCAGCTCATTCCTGCCGCCCTCCTCCCAGGCCAGGTGATGACGCACAATCCTCATGCTTTGCCCAACACTGACCCACGGCCTCCACGTGCAACCTAAGTAGTGCACAAGAAAAGACTGTCCGGGGTGGAAAGTGGGGGACAGCCGAAAGACTAGCCCAGGAGGTCTTCAGATCCAGAGCCAGCTATGATGTCACCCATTGTATTGTGGCCCAGGGAACGAGCCTGGTTCTGTGGGTTCCTGGCCATGAGCACATGGCGAGGATTTGAAGCAGCAGATAATTTTGCAAGGTCAAAGCTTTCCCTCAGCAGCTCCAGAGGTTGTCCTCCAGAAGGAGGAGCATCCCTGGGAGTCAAAGGATGTGGGAGTGAGGAGAGGCCTCCGGAGGGGGAGGAGCACCGTCGAGGAGCACTCATGTCTGCACCTGGTGTCAGAGGCACCACTCCAGACTCCCCACTTCCCCTGGGGCTTAGGGCCTGGAGATCCCCAGGGCGGGTAGCAAGCCCCAGCCTTTGTAGACCAGATGCCACTTTCTCTGACAGCCCATTTCCCTTAGGATTTCAGGAGCTTCCAGGGTACTTGCTTCTGGTCATTGCCATGCAACAGTGACAAGGTCTGGGCAAGGGGACGGTCTTTGATTCTAGGACCCATCCTGGAAATTCCCATTTTTTGTAATAGGCATCAGCGCTCTGTCCAACCCCGGTACGTCCCCATAGTGGTCTCCAGGGCACTGGTGAGAAGCGCTTAGAAGAAGCAGACAGGATCAGCCATCACAGAGCACCCAGCACTGGATGGGAGACATCAGTGTGACCCAGATGGCCCAGGTCACACCGATAGCACTGACACCTGCTAACTTTGTCACTGGCTTCATCATGGTTTATCTTTTTAACTCCCCCCATGCCTTCATTCCTCAACTTTAAAACAGCACCTACTCCACGGGGTGTTGAAAGAAGTCGATGGAGTCTCACTAATATGTAGAAAACGGCATAACAAAATGCTAGTCACTATTATTCCCCAAGCTTCCAACCTTGCCTCCCCCTCTTTTGATACTGGAGGTTTGATTTAATCCATGGGTGCTTAACCACTGAGCCACATCCCCAGCCCTTTTTATTTTTTATTTAGAGACAGGGCCTCTCTAACTTGACACTGGCCTTGAACTTGGGTTCCTCCTGCTTCAGCCTCCAGTTACCAGGATTGGCTGGCATGGGTGCCACCATGCCCGCCGGCCTTATCGCTTGCTCTGCCCTCCGCCTCCCCACCTTTGCTCACAGTAACTTCAGGTTGCTGCAGATAACTCAGCTTTCCTGACACGGCCTCCCCCGGGGTTCAGTCACATTGGATTGCAGGCCAAAGACAGAAAGGGCCTCTCTTCCTTCTGTGCGGGCCTTTTGTAAGCTGTGGTAGAATCCACCTGGCATGAAATTCACCGCCCCAGCCCTTTCTAAGTGCACCGTTCAGTGGTGTTGAGCACATTCCCTGTACGACCAGCACTACCACCCGTCTCCCAAACTCTGACTTTGCAAAACTGAAGCTCTGCACCCATTAAGCATGTCCCTAGCTCCCAGCCCTGGCACCCACCATTCTACTTTCTGTCTCAAGGAAGCTGACTACTCTACATTCTACCTGTATATAAACGGAGTGATAGAGCCTCTGTCCTTCTGTGACCACCTTATTTCACTGACGATAATGTCCTCGGGGTTCACGTAGCATGTGTCAGAATGCCGTTTAGGTTTGTTTCTTTTGTGTGGGACTTTACTGTAAAATGGAAAGAAGATAAGTCCCCATTAGGTAAACATCTTGCCTGAGAGGCAGCAATTTAATCAGTTCTCTCAGCACCATGTGTCATGCATGAACCACTCACTTGCTAGTCAAGAGTAGAAGGTCTTCATCTTGCCTTGACTCCGGTAATTCTATATTTTTAGGCCAATTGCAATCCCCCATTCTTTTTTTGGTGTGTGGGGGGGTTACTGGAAATTGAACTCAGGGGCACTCCATCACTGAGCCACATCCCCAGTCCTATTTTGTATTTTATTTAGAGACAGGGTCTCACTGAGTTGCTTAGTGCCTCACTTTTGCTGAGGCTGGCTTTGAATCCGAGATCCTCCTGCCTCAGCCTCCTGAATTGCTGGGATTACAGGTGTGCACCACTGTGCCTGGGCCCCATTCTGTTTTTCTTTCTTTCTGTTTTTCTTTCTTTCTTTCTTTCTTCCTTCCTTCCTTCCTTCCTTCCTTTCTTTCTTTTTTTAGTTGTAGATGTACACAATACCTTTATTTTATTTATTTATTTTTATGTAGTGCTGAGGATCAAACCCAGGGCCTCACACAGACTAGGCAAGTGTTCTACATCTGCGCCACAGCCCCAGCCCTGGCCCCCCGTCCTTGATGCCACCTTCTGTTCTTGGGATGCTTTCCAGAGTAAGCAACAGAAGCCCCGCCCACATTAGCTCAGCCGAGAATCATCATCTTGACTCCTGTAACTGAGGGTTCCGGGTGGAGAGCTGGAGAGGGAGGCTCCTGCTGCCCCAGCCAGACTCCAGCTCTCCTCAGGAGCACCAGCTCCCTCCACAGGCTGCCTGGTCCTCTGTGCTGGCTCCATTGTCAGACTCCACCCAGTAGAGACAGGGTCTCCTACCTCACTGAGGCTGGCCTTGAACTTGCGATCCTCCTGTCTCAGCCTCTGCACTTGCTGGAATTGCAGGCACACACCACTGCAGCCGGCTCACAGAATGTATTCCATACTCTACTGACAGTGGAAACACAATTGTTGTACAGGTCTACTTTCCCAACATCATAAAGTCTCAAGTGGAAACACCTCAGTAAGCAGTTATCTGTACACAGTGGAATAGTACAACTGGTTTTGAAAACAAGGCACCTGTGTATGTACGGGCTGGGAACAATCCTCAAGATAAAATAAGTTAGAAGAAAAGAGAGTGCAGAAGCGTGTGTCCTGCGTGTGCCCAGGTTGCGTCTACCAAGAGGCATGTGCATGTGTGTTTGGTCATGTGCTCCTATAGGCTTGGAGACATGGGGTGGAATGAAGACTCATTTGTTTTCTATCCTTCTAAATGTTTCACAGCGTACCTGTGCATTTTCATGAAATTAACTAACCAAAACCCACTTAAAAGCTTCATTGAAAATATCTAGGTTAGAATTTTTGCTTCACAGAAGATGGAGAAGACCATTAGGTGCCCAGCATCTGTGACCTGGAAGAGATTTTGATGGAGGGGCAAAGGGCCTGTGGTAGCAAGGCCCAGGGGTCCAGAGCTGTGTCTGCAGACACAAAGCAGTCGCCCGCCATGATTGTTTGGGACAAGAGACAAATTCCATGGGAAACGGGAACTTGGGGCTCAACTGGGAGAGCTCAAGGCTGAGGATTTTTTTCCTTTTCTGGAAACTTAGAGAGGGCCAACCTCTGGGTGGGCCTGGATTGGAGTCCTTGGAGGACCTCAGAGCAGCTATAAGCCCACTTAGGTCCCTCTTGGCCTAGTCCCAAAGCTGTCTCAGAAGATCTTGATATCACTTGGCCATTAACACCACTCCCTTTTTGTTATTGACGGGAGGTGATCAATGTTTATGCCTAGCTATTGCATGGCAGATCCCTGCAATATCCTGCGACGTGTCAGATGAACTCCTTGGCACTGTGCTGGCTTCCGGATGGCACTGCTCCTGCAGGCTAAGCCATCATAGGTTCTGTTGGGTCTCAGGGCACCTGCCTACAACTTTACCCCGCTGGTTCAGCTCTGATCTGTCAACCAGGAACTTCAGGCCACCTTCTCAGATACCCCATTCCCCAAAGTTTCATGAAAACCAAGATCCCCTCTTCCTTTGACAAATTCGTTCAGCAATTGCTGAGCATCAACTACCCACCATGCCCCGTGCTTGGCCCTGGGAATACAGAGGTGAAGGAAGCCCCAGTTCCAATCATAGCTGGGTCTCCTGGTGGATTCTTCTTTCCTTTAAAAGTTCTTGACTGACAGAGCACCAGGCCTCTCATCACAAAATGCCCTGGGGACCCACTCTATGAATGAGAGGGGACCTATGGTTAGCATTTCCAAAACCTGCAGTCAAGAAAAGCTAGACCTCTCCAGGCATGGTGACATACGCCTGTAATCCCAGCAGCTCGGGAAGCTGAAGCAGGAGGATCACAAGTTCAAAGCCAGCCTCAGCAACTTAATGAGGCCCTAAGCAATTTAGCAAGATCCTCTCTTAAAATAAGGACTAGGGATGAGGCTCAGTGGTTAAGTGCTCCTGGGTTCAATCTCTGGTATCAAAAGAGACGGACAAGGAGAAGAAAAGCCAGTCCTCAACAAAAGATTGACTTTGGGGTGAGAACAATGCCTTCAGTAATGACCCTGCCAGAAACCACTGCCAATGCATTAGCCCTCTCCCTGGAGGGAAACAGGAACCCGCCAGTGACTGTAAACAACTCACATCAGGGAGGACAAAACCCAAATCTAATAGGATGGGTTTCTTCTAAGACAACAGAAATAAACACAGATTTTCTTATTATGAAACTAATACATAAATAGGCTGTTTTCATGTAAACATATAAATTTTAAAAATTGCTTTGCTTTAGAATTTAGAATACTAGTTAGGTGCCTCTGAGCACTTTTTAATATATGTAAATAAATACAAAAAATTTTTTACCAAAGTGGGATTATTCTCTGAAACTTCCTTCTTGCGTCATTTCATGTAGCTCTGTCACATGTCTTACGTGGAATTTCACAGTAAGGAGTTACCCCAACTAGCATTACTTCATTATTCTCCTGTTGGAGGACATTGGGATTGTTTCTGATTTTTCTCTAGTACCCAATGCTGTGGTGAACATCCTGGCACAACTTTTGTGCCCTTGTGGAAGAATTTTTGTGGAAGAAATTGCTAGAAGTGAAAGAGGTTCTCTGAAATGCTTGAACTTGATTTTGAGGTGAAGAACTCGGTAGAAGCCAACCTTCTGCAGACCGAGAGGCGTAAATAATACACACAATCAATTATTCATGGTAGACTGCCAAAGGGCACACTTCTTGCCGCTGGGCTGCCTGCTCAGAAGTGTTCCTATCACTGTTTTCTCATTAGAACAGGAAATCTGCAGAGAAAATCCTTGGCTTAGTGATCCCTGCCCCTACCAATAGGAACTTGTGAAGGCTTTTGATGGGAACATCAGGATTGATTACAGAAAGAACACACCTTTGAGGGCCATGTGTGTGGATACTGTTGGTCTGAGCTAGGAGCTGGCTGTGGCTGTTCTGAGAGAACAGCGCCCCCAAGAGGCCCTCGGATGTCTGTACCTGTCCTCGCACAGACCAGGAGGATCCAGCTTAGACAATAAGCTGTGGGTCAATTTCCCACTTGTTCTTAAACTCACCCAGCAAATATTTGCTGTTTAAACCTCTTAAATAATGGATGACACAATAAGCCTCTGGGTGAGGCTTAGTGATGAGTTCCTTGTTCTGCGACCAAAGGCTCAGATAGCGGATGGTGAGTTCGCAGGCTCCACTTCTCACTGTGTCCCCGCATTCCTGAATCCCCAGAGATGCTTCTAAAGTGACAGGAACTGGCACAGTCGTTTGATAAGTGCTCATGAGATAAGAAGTAAAGCGTAAAGCACGAGTAGAGGTGGAACAGGCACAGAATGACTCAGGCCTGGATTTTTAAAGAAGTAACTCAAAAGCCAAATCAACATCCCTGCCTTTCAAGATTTCTCAGCTTTCAGCCTTTTGCTATTTCAGAACAGATACTTCTTTGTTATGGGGCTGTCCTGTGCACTGTAGGCTGCTGAGCAGCGTCTCTGGTGTCTACCCACTAGGTGCCTGTAGCAAACCCCACTCCCATTTGCAACAACCAAAACTGTCTCTAGTCCTTAGCACCACATAATAAATAAATACATAAATAAATAAATAAATAAATAAATAGAAATGAAGATATTAAAAAAAAAACTGTCTCTAGAACCATTGCCATATTGGAATGTTTGGAGATTGCAGAAGGTCTTGAGCTTCCTGGAGGCCAAGCAGCTGCTGTGGGCTCTGCCTCCAATCCTAGGAACCATTTTGGAGCTTCAGTGATTATTATGAGGCGTTTTCCCTCATTCAGGTCAGAAGCCTGGATTCCAATATCATGGGGCAGGGGGAGGAGCCAGCAGGAAAGGGGAAGGGCTGGGGAAGGAGCCCACACCAGGAGCATCACTGGAGCAGTGTGTGACAGTTGGCAACCCCAGCAGGAA